AAAGATATCTGGTTCATACATTCTTTCAGTTTTTTGTAATCAGATCAAAAATACAGATACAAGTGTCGGGACTGTGCTGTAGGTCATCTTACGCAAACAAAAAAAGTGCCTATCTTATGCATATCTACACACATAGTGTTCAATGAAGACTCTTCCTAGGTCATTGTTTAAATGCCGATTAACAAGTTACCTAAATAAAACTTCATATTGCATCTTTAAAACAAAATATTCTACAAGAGGAAGTTTAATCAGTTAACTGTGGGACAAATTCCTTGTCAGAACTCATCCTCTAAATTCTTCCAAGGATCTCCTCTCTCAAAGTTAATCACTCTTTGACTCAGTGAGCAAAGGAGCGGCACAGGATATGCACCACTAGTGGAACATTCAACACATCTCAGTGATAGCACAGAGATGTAACAAGCCATCTGGTATGATTAATGAAGTATCTAATTACCTACCTTAAACCTTCTTTAAAAGCACTTACTTTTAAGGGAAGTTTCTGCACAAAAAACAGGACAGAAAACTTTAATATACTTAACCACCCTTTGCAGAAACTATACACGAGCCTATTCCACTGTTAATTGCAACTACCAGACACAGACAGACTGGATTCTCTTCCGTTTAAAGGCAGAGATAGTTTCAGTACATGGTGATCAAAAAAGACATTTTGGGTTGAAATCTTCTGTTTCAAAATAAGACAGATCCGCTAACTTTTAAGACCTGCTACATGTCATTGACTGAAGCTTCTGCAGGAGAAGGAGTATGCAAGCAGCTCAGCTTGCTTGTCTGAGGGTGGGAAATTTTGCTGCAGTAAAGTTCTTTTGAGATTGCCTGGTGAGAGTATAAGTTTTTAGCCAAATGTGAAAAACACTCTGCTTACAAGATTATCGGTTTGATATTGAAAACTACATCTCTGGTTATTTTCCTGCATGGAAGGACATTTCTGAAAGTTCCTAGACTGCTCTGGTTGACAACTTCTTAAAGTAAATACTAGAGAGACCAACTGAGTAACACACCACCTGATCTGCTGTTCAAAGACAAGGAAAACCTGGTGATAAATACAGCCACAGATGGCAGCTCGCCTTGCAGTGACCACAGGATAACTGAGTTCAGGATCCTGAGGAAGGTTACAATGTTAAACAGTGGAGTTAAGATTCTGAACTTCAGGAGATGGGACTTCAGCTTGTTTAAGCAACTGCTAGTCAGATTTTCCAATGAGGCTATCATCAGAAAGAAAGGGACATCAGAAAGAAAGGAGAGTTGGCTGGTTTTTTAAAAAAGAAAATGTATTTAGATCTCAAGAGCTAATCAGCCTACTGTACAGGGAATTTTGTCAGAAGAACTGCTTAGTGTACAAGCTTTCTAATTAATATGCAAAAATAGAACATATTAGAAGTAGAAACAAGGATGGGATACAAAATCATTGCTCTGGCATTTAGGGACAAAATTAGGAAGGCCAAAGCCCAGCCAGAGTTAAAATTTATGAGGAACATAAGGGGATTCTGCAAGTAGGCTGGAAATGAAGGAAGTTCAGACAAAATATTTGTCTGTTGATAAATGAGGGAAACAACTTAGGAATAAATTATATAGAAAGGTGTGAAGTCCTCAATATCTTTTTTGCCTTGGTTTTCACAGGCAGAGGCTGATCCCAGATCTCCATGCATACCAGCATGATTTGGTAAGGAGAAGGATAACCAACAGTCAGAGAGCAGCACATTAGGGCCTACTGAGAAAAGCTGGCTGTATTCAGATCTATAGGCCAAGTAGAATTCACTAAGGTGAAAGATTATCAACATAATCATGGTGATTGCGGGAGGTGCGTGATGACTAGAAAAGGGTAGTGTGTTATGCTCACTTTTAAGAAAGATGAGAAGGATGACAAATGGTAACTACAGCTAAACAGTTTCCCCCAGCTCCCTGGAAAGATGGAAGATCATGTCATGTCTCTTGGAATCAACTTCCAACTACATGAGAGACAAAAACATAATCAGGAATAGGCAATATTTATTTACCAAAAGTGAATCATAGTTGAGGCTAGTAGGTGATCTATTAACAGCCATTTGAATAGCAGTTACAGGAGTGACTGAGCCCAGCTCTTCTTGGTAGTGGCAAACAGTATGACAAGAAGCAATAGTCACAAGTTGTTGTTTTGTAGGACATTCAGAAAAACTTCTTCACTAGGTAAACAGTGTAGCACTGGCAATGGTTATTAATAGAGGCTGTGGAGACTCCACCCTTGGAAATTCACAACTCAACTATACAAAGCCATGGCTTGATCTGGTATACTGCTGGCAACTAGCCTGCCCCATGCATGAAGTCGGCTTAGATAACCTCCAGATGTCCCTTCCAACCAACATTTCTGTGATTGTGCAAACAGTCCACTATCTTTTAGGACACTAAAGAATGTTCCTGACGAAAGTTTATTTTCTGAGTTTTGTAAGTGCACATTGTACTAAACAACAGTGACTCAGGAAACAGATGACAGAACATACTCTTCAGCTCACATCTAGCCTGCTTCAACCAGCAGTTCTTAAACACCCTTGACAACTGTGTAACAGATCAGAAAAAAAGGTCTTAGTGGACAAGACAAAACCATTCTGTTGCAAGTATCAAAAAAGAAACAAAGTATTGAATTTGCAGAATAATTATTTATTTTACAGTGATATAAGCATTTCCTTCCCAACAGAGATAGGAAACTTTGTGCTGCTGATGCCCAAGCTGCACTTATTCTTCCCAGTCAGTGGTGGAGTTGTCTGTCCAACATTTCCAAAAACCCCACCAGAAATACCTGTTATTAAAAAGACACACATTTCTCAGAGCAGAACTTCACTACTTAACATTTTTCAGCAACACAGAAGATGTGAATTAACCACTAATTGATTTGGTTACTACTGAACACATTACTTCCTCTGTGATCACTGGAGAACATCTATGTCAATACACGCTTTTCATCTTGTCCCGAGTAATATGTTGCACTCCCAGTATCTAATGAATTTATGCTGCTTCTTAAACCATTCATATCTGCACATTTTGATAATTTGTGCAACACCGTTTTGAATTATGGCAATTAGTAGTACAAGACAAATACCAAAGGACAGTTAAAATCATTGTATTTTGTGGTAACTATTTGGATATGACTTAAGAACCATACCTGTACTTCAAAAAAAAAAAAAAAGTTTAAACATTTTCTAAAAGCCAAAATATAAAATAATATCAGAGTATCATCATGAATTCTGCCACATACAGATCACCTTTTCCTCTACAGATCTAAGACTTCTATAATACCATTTCAAGTTTTTAATTTTCCTTTCCATCACTGTAAGCTTAGTATTTTGGCAACTAAACTTTGCTTTAAAGAAACACCACCTTCTTTCCTGCAGTTCTACTTAATGACCCAAACACATGGCAGCTTTTCTATGAGGAGACCTGTGCAACTATGTGGAAGCTCAGTAAAAAAATCCACACACTAATCTGGGCACTAGGCAGTAACAGAGATGTCTCAGTGAAGAGCTCACAATCTACAAGTGAACAAAAGAAACAGATGTTGCGGAGAAAAAAATGCTTCTTCTGCCATTATTATTTTGTAATGGGAACAAAAGTAAATAAACAAATTGTCTAAACTGAAAAATACCATAATAAACATAAAATTTTTTTCTAAGTTTGAGTTGATTTCTGATGCAACTTCCCCCCCCTCACACACTCCAACCTTTTAAAAGTTACTACTGTTCATTAAACATCAACCATAAAAAAAATAACTGATATTGGAAGTTTTCCATTTTCTTTAAAGGGAAAGATAATTTTATAATAGCACTCTCCCTACTGCTTTATTTCTTCAAGTTCTTATAAGGACACTTTGCTTCTCTCCTCCTGAACTTAAATTCCTTTACCAAGTAACCCAAACCAGAAGAGTAGAACCACAAAACACATAATAATCCTTAGGTGATATTGGACTTGCAAAAAGTCAAGTCAACATTATTTTTTGTCAAAAACTAAACTAAAAATAATATTATTATAATGGTAACCAAAATTATCTTTGTACTATAAACAACATGTAGGAACAATTTTTTTTCATTCCCTGTGTGCTTGATATACTAGGGACATAACACCATAATGAAAAAATTAACAGTCAAGATAATAACAACTTTAAGAACAACACTGCACAGAAGTGACAGGAAATGCTAGGACAAGGCTTTTAACTGTTATTTATTAAAGGTTTCAAAATGGAAAATTTACCAGAAAACATACAGTTACCCTTACTCCTCTTTTAGAGGAATTCAAATTTTATTTGGAAAAATGCCAAATTCTCAAGAAGGTCCAAGCAAACTATCTTCTGTTCGGTAATAAATGTAAAAAAGTCAAGCGTGTAAGTAATTTAGCTTGTGGAAGTAAGATGACTGAGTTTGATAGGACTATTCATATGTCTAATCTAGTGCACATCAATGTTTTAAAAGTATTAGGAGCGTAAGACAACCTGAATAACTTTTCCTGAGTCAGTTTCATTCAGGGATCTACTCCCTAAATAAATATTTTGCCAACTCCGAAGTATTTTTATGCATTGTGCCATGAAACACATTACAAAGACATGTGAGGCAGTACTGACCAAACTGGTGTGTCCATCATGCGCACTGCCAACAGATACATTTGCTTAAGTTTCAAAAGCATAGTTGTATTATCAAAACAGCATACCCGAGCTAATGATCTTACTTGTGATTAGCCAGGACGCAGTGGTACATGTTTGGTACTAGAGCCAGCAGGATCATCACTAGCCTGGGGAAGGAAAAGGGGTATCTTTACTCTGCAAGGTGTTAAGCAGAGTCGACACCCTCAGTATGACCCAGGTGGCAGACCAGCGTCTAGGAAACCCCACCAGAAACTGCGCAGCATTGCAGGCAACGCTTCAGGAGTAAACAAAAACCAGCACAGAGATCATATTAAACATGTAAACACTCCTAGGAAGTATCACTTATGAAGGAGGGAATATTTTGCAAAGTGCTACTTACAGGTATGTAGGCACTCAGTTACTGTAGTTGGCTTGATGAGATAGCCTTTACAGATATAGCAGGTGATATGAGGATTGAAATCTTTCACCAAGTGCTTCCTCTGAGTAGCCATTCGTGGGGTAGGAAATGCTGGCGGAGTGCTCGTGGCCAGAGGAGCAAGTCTGAGAGACGTAGATGCCCGCGGTTCACAACAGCTGCAGTGCTGCTCTGTGCAACTGGACTTCTCCAGGCATTTGCTCGTAACTCTGAAGGTCTCACAGGGACATGGCTCATAACTCCTGCTCCTGTGCCAGGCGAGTCATTTTCCTACCTGTAACACACGTGGAAAGAGAGAGGTGTGTGAACCTGGCAGCACAGTGACGGTGCCCCGGAGGACGAGTGTCGCCATGAACTTGGCAGGGGCACCCGGGTTATTATTTACATAACCACCGCTCCGCGCTCGGCAGCCGAGGTCCGAGGCAGCGCCCCTGCCCCGCCAGGCTCCGGCCGCCGGCGGTACAAGTCTCCGGGAGCGGCTGGGGAGCGCTGACAGGTGCCGGGGCCGCCGGCCAGCCCCGCCGGGCTCCACGGCGGCCCCGCCGCCCGCCCGGCTCGCCCCCGCCCAGGCGCGCCGCGGTGCGCAGGCCTCGGAGGGCCCCCGCGGGGAGGAGCCCTCCCCGGCGCCGCGGGAGCCCGCCGGCAGGCGAGGGCGGCGGGCGGGCGGGATTTAGCCCAGCGCTCGCCCAGTTCCAGTCCCGTCCCCGCTCCGCTCCCTCCCCCCTCCCCTCACCCCTCTCGCTTCCCGCCCCCGCCTCGGCGCCCCCCCCCCCCCCCCGCCGTACCTGGCGCAGCCCAGCGGCCTCGGGCGGGCGGCCGCCGAGCGAAAGAGAAAGGGAAACGGCGTGCGCCTCCCACCCGCTTCGAGCCCTCCCCCCTTCCCTCCCCGCCAGGCTGCCGCGGCCGGTCCCCGGGCGGGTGGGACGGGCGCGCAGGCGCTGCTCCCCGGCCGAGCCCCGCTGCGCCACGGCCCGCAGCGCCGCTCCGGGGCGGGAGGCGCCGGGAGCCCCTGAGCGGCCCCGCCGGCCGGGCGCCGGGGCGGGCGGGAGCGGAGCGGGGGCGCTGCCGGCCGCAGGTAAGCGCAAGAGCGGCCCGTCCCTCGCCCCGCTTCGGCCCTTGCACCGCTTCTTAAAAACAGCTTCGGCTTCTGCCCGTGAAACTTAAACTCCTTCCGTCCCTCAGGAGGAAATACTAAACCACTGGACTAAGTTAGGCCCAAATCATGTAAACAGACGTGTTATACATGTGCTTCCCTCTAACCGGGACCAGCTAGCACGAATGAACGCTGACTCCGTGGTTCTACGCATCGGCTTTTTGCTCCCCTGTTCACCGAAATGTACTGTATTACCGTTGTTTGCATTATTATATCATAAAGCACACACTGCTGAGCCAAAGGTTACAGAAAGCTAAACTCTAACACAGAAAACAGACAACATAGACTATATATATCTCATGGGAATATTATTCTGTCAGTTTAGCAGAAGTTGACGTTTTTCAGAATGAGCGTGAGAGTGGCCCTGCTTGCATGTAGACTAAGCATGATACAGTGTTATTAAACTCATATGCATGCATTTGAAACAAGCAACTGCTAATGCTCTCGTGGCTGTTTCAAAATTACTGTGTCTGGTAAGATTTGTTTTAAAAATAAACTTGATTCTAAGATTTCGAAGCATAGTTTATCTAATGGCCTTATTTGAATTTTTTTTTTTTCTAAACAAAATTATCAACTAGGCTTATGTTTATACAATAATGGACACACAATATTCTGTTCAAGCACATTAAAAACACAGAGTAACATCATTTATTATACTGTATAGCCCATACAGTAATAATTGCCCAGTAGTTGTGATACTTGCAAGTGTACACAACTGGTATAGATTCCCACAAGCCATAGCGGAGTCCCTCTTTTAAGGACTAACAGTCCCATGCCAGGTAAGTGACAGTAGACATGACAAATTCTTGCCTCATCGCTTCACAAAGTAAGAGCTCAGCCCTGCTGGTACTAAGCTGTATTTATGGGATGCTGAGTGCCTTTAACTCTCACTGAACTTGATGAAAGTTGATGCATTCAGCACCTTTCCAGGCCACAACATAAAGAACAAATGAGAAGCAGTGCAGAAGAAACACTCATTTCATTATCAGAGGAAAGCAGAATAACAAAGATCCTTAAATACTCACTCCTACTTTATATCATGAGGCAAGAAATTATGTTAATAAATGCCTATGAATTAATTATAATTTCAAAGGTAGTTATCACCTAGCATTGCATACAACAGGTTTATATAAAAATACAGGGCCATATAAGTGATGTGAGCATTTTGTTCTACTTATTGCAGTTAAAAGTAACAGAGGAACAGTGTTTGAATCAAACAAGGTAGTCATTTTCATATTATGAGAGAAACAGAATTAACAAAATAAACTGAGCTAGTCAGAGTAAATATATATCGTGTATTAGTGACAACAAATGCGGTATTAGAGAGGGCGATTATAGCCCTCAAGGCCTCAAGTGATGAAAGTACAGCTGCTTCCATTTTTCTGTGTTTCTTAAACTTCTGACTTTCCTATTGACTGACTTGTACTCAGCAGTTCTCAGAGTGTCTTCTAACACTTTTTAAAAAACTAAGTCATTTTTTACATATATGAGCTCGTCTAACACATAGAAAATAAAGGCTGCTTTCTAAGTATTACCAAAGTAGAGAAGTAGTTTGTTGAAATCTCTGAAGAACTACTAGATCACCCTAATGTGAAACAGAGTAATTCTTCATATTTAATATGAATAAAATGTATCTTTATAAAGGAACAGCCAGGACACGTAAGAACTTGTGAACTCTGAGCATTTTGTTAATTTTACTTATTAATGCAGCTCCGACATTTTTGAAAAATATGAGTGTTTGATGTCAGTTCTCAAGTAAATTCCAGAGAGAAAATAAACATTGGTCAACACATTCAAGTTCTCAGTAACATCTGAAATATTTTGAAATAATTCTAATTCTGCAAGTAGATCCATGTTGAGTACAACCTCACATCCCTATAGAGCTATACCAGAGTCTGTTTCTACACAAGTCTCCAATTAACCTCCAGTTATCCTAAGAGTTACTCATATTTTGTAGATGGAAGAATTACTGGGACACATCTTGTCTGGAAAAATAACCAAAAAAAAAAAAATCCCTACTTAATAGACATTGTGGAGCAATCTGAATGGTATTTACAGGGAAGCCACAGAATTCACCTTCACTGAATAGTGAGTCTCTAGACATCTGATGAAAATGCCATTTTATGACTTTTAAAATCTTGAAAGCTTCACAGAATTGCCTAGGTTGGAAGAGACCTCCTGAAATTGTCTAGTCCAACCCTTTTGCTCAATCAGGGTCAGGCAGAGCAGGTTGTCCAGGACTGTGTCCAGTTGGATTTTGAATATTTCCACAGATAGGCACTACACCATGTCTCTGGGCAATCTGTTCCAGTTTTGACCACCCTCATAATAAAAAAATGTTTTCTTGTGATCAGATGAGATTTCATGTGTTTCAGTGTATGCCCATTACCTCTTGTCCTGTCAGTGGTCACTACTGAGAACAGTTTGACATCTTCATCTTCATCCCCTCCCATCAAGCACTTATACATGCTGATAAGATCCCCCTGAGCCTTCTTTTCTCCCAGCTGAGTAGTCCCTGCACTCTTGGCCCCTCCTCATATGAGCGATGCTCCAGTCCCTTAATCATCTTTGTGGCCCTATGCTGGACTGACTTCGTATCTTTCTTGTACTGAGAAGCCCAGAACTGGACACGGCACTCCAGATGTCACCTTATCAGTGCTGAATAGAGAGGAAGATCACCTCCCTCAGACTGCTGACAACTTACTTGAAACTACTGCATATTTACTCAGGTATGAAAAGTAGACCAAATATAACCACTTTGGGATCTTTTAGTTTCAGTGTTAAATTCCCTATCCATTTGAACAGTATCTAGAATAGAACCATACACTAATTGGGTTAGAGAGACCTTTGGACACTATCTGGTCCAATGCCCCTGTTTAAAGCAGGTCTAATATTAAAGTTAAATCCATTGCTCAGGGTTTTATCCAAATAAAGTTTGACTATATCCAAGGATGGCAATTCTACAGCCTCTCTGAGCAACCTGCCTCATCCCTTGGCAATCCTCATTGTGGATTTTTTCCCTTAGGTCCAGTTGGATTTTTCCTTGCTGCATCGCATGTGCTTTGACATAGATATGAATAAGTTACTAGCAGCAAGTGAACTTAACTCTTACTGTCATTATCGCTGTCTTTGCCGTTACGCTGGGATCGTATGTCGTAATTCTTTGCATTTTAGGCAAAGAGTAGTAACATTGTTTATCATATGCTCAGTGTGAAGACTGTCTTTGATTTGATAGGAAAGGATAGGAATTAGGCTATTCTTATCCCCATCTCGTATTCACGAAAACAATTGGCAACAAGGTTTTGCATTTCTACTGCGAGGGCTTTTCTTCATCCCTACTGAGCTCTATATAAGATGCTATGTATTAGCACATAATAGAACTTCTGGGATATATATATATATATATATATATATGTCATTTCTTTCTTCATGCTTACTCTTCTTTTATAGTCTCAAGTAAAGTAGCAAAGCAGGTTGCAAAATGCTAACATCTGTATCATTATGCCATTGACAAATATGTAAACAAGACAAATGCATTCAAGATACACTTCAAGAGTAAGGTAAAATTGTGTCACAAAGTGTTCCAACTTTGTTGAACTAATTTCAAGCAGATTTTAAAAAGTAAGAGAAATCATGAAGTTCCTACAGGTTTTATAATAACTGGCTGCTAGTAAAGGAGTGGGAATTAAATTAGTGACTCTACCAAGGGAAAGATGAGCAGATCTGTATTGCTAAATGTTTTGCTGGCACACTAAAATTCTGATCAGCCATAGCACACACTGTCTCTTCCCAGTTAGAGAAACACAGAAAACAAGTAAGGAACAAGGCCGTAGCAGTGGGAGAGGATTGCCACTGCAAGAAAAAAAGAATCAGAACTGTGAAATAAAATTGACTAGAAATTGTCACTAGCATCAAGGAGACAATTTAACTTTAGCCACTTGTATGCAGAAGTTGAAGTGAAAAAATACCTGGTTTTGAACATATCATTAGCTGACTATTAAACATACTGAGGGAAGATCTTGTGACCAGCTTGACATACCTCCCTGTGAATAACAGGTTTAAGAACTGTGGTTATAGACTTCAGGGGTATTGCAAATTTAAAAATACCAATCTATCACAGC